ACTATTTCATGTCTGAAGGTGTACATTTCACTAGAAGAAGCAGTTATTTTCTTAAGGAAATAACTTCATTATTTTACTTAAAATAATTTTAGTGCCTTATGCTATGGCAGTCCTATCTTTAAAGCATTATTTTCCAGTTCAGAGTTTTGTTGTACTTTTTAAAGAGTATTGGTGGTAAAATGGCTATAGTTTTACCTAAAACCACATCGTGTTTCTTTATTTATCAAAGCTTTTGCTCCGTGCATCCTTTAGGTGGCAGAACACACCACGGTGCACAAATGCAAAGAGAGCAATAACAAACAGAGTAGCATCTGCCTGCCAGCTTTACAGCAACTTTCTTGCCTTTGTGCTGCAACATTGCACATTCCCTACACTGTAACTGCACGGGGGGAAAACAGTAATCATACTGCCGGATTGCTCTCTCAGGTTAAATAAGGAGCACTCCTTTCAAAAAGCAGCATGCTTTAGAACCTGACCAGTATGGCTCTCACAGATGTTTCATAAAGGCAACTGCAAAGTGGCATTAGATTGGACATTCAGCAATTCTTCTTAGGATTGCATTTACCCTAGCAAAGTAGTTTCTATAAAATCTTCTTTCCATTACTTTCTAACTGACAACATTCCCAGGTAAACACCTCTCTCAGCATCTACAAATGTTTACAAGGAACTTGTCAAACATGAAATAATTTTCTGATTCTACTAGTTCCTGTGCAGCAGATTCCAGCTGTTTAGACTGAGTATAAAGAAGAAAAAAATTGCCCATCGACTGTATTATCTTCCATTTGTATTACATTTTGACATTATGTTTTTATTTTTGTCTATTTTTATTTTAATATTTTAAAGCTGCTGTATTAAAGGGTAATGTAGGTCACTATAAATGGAAATGCATATTTGAGATTACATTTCTTCACCATAAATAATGGTTCAGCTCTTTAAAATGTGATTGATGAGTCTTATTTTTAACATACTGTGATGTTAACTTGGTTTAATTTGAACGTTTCGCACACACACACACACCCTTCTGATGGCAAATAACATGTCACATTTGTTTTTCTAGCCTGGAATGCCATTTCCCTGAAGACTGCCAAAAATTGCAAAACTTTGTTACAGTATTTTAATTTTACAGACATCCCAGTGAAACATTTTTGTCAAACTATCAAGACACAAACTATTAAATTCCCTGGAACATATGAGCCTTTCAATTAACTGATTACCTGCAGGTCCCTCAGGTTTTCTGATTGACAGAAATTTATTGTTCTCATTAAATAAGTATTCCACCAAAGTGCTACACGTGGAAGGTTTGCTCTGCCTTCTCAACCTCAAATGTTCTTCATACAAGCACTTCTGCAACCTTATCAATCTAAATATCCATTAACCCTTTAACTGACATCTAAAGCTATTACAAGACAATAAATAGATTGTGTCTTCCTTTATCCTTTTGCTTCTGTATTACAGAAAACAACTAATGTCTCATTTTAGGTATTTTCAGTTTAAATGAGCTCTTTGGAACAATACTGTTCCACAAGCAACTTCTACAAATCATGAAGTGTGTTATATAGGAGGCCAGATTGTTTTTTTCTCTGATCCTGTCTAGATAAGCTGGTATAGGAGCTGAAATTTAGACAACAGATTAGAAACTTGGTTTGCTTTATTTGGCTGGTAATTAATTTAGAACACAACACAGGTAAGGAATACAACAGGAAAAGGTGAGATGCATCTTCTTTGAAGAACAAAAAGATAAGTTTAGCACCATCGTTTTAAGAAATAAGATACCATAAGGGAAATCAGAGAAAGAAAAAAGAAGGCACAGAAGGGGCATTGGAAGATGAAGTTGCTAGTAATTGTTTCCAGCCTAAACCAGATTTTTTCACTCTAAACAACTTAACATTTCTGGTTTCTACTGCTTCCACAAAATGGTTGTTTATAGGAATCCCCTTTCCTTTCTAACCCCTATTACAGTAGTTTTACATTCCCTTTTATGTTATGGTCTGCTATTACTTAATACATGATGCCTGTTCATGCAGAGTGGTTACTAAGCATTACTTCTTATTTGCCCATTACTTTTTAAGAAGTCAAATTATTTATTGATACTAATACTTACAGAACTATGTGTGATTAACTTTTCTGGAAGTTACATAATCAAATTTATATTCATAGCATTTATATTAATTTAATGCAGGACTTTAAAATATAGAATACTTACTCTATGTTTCTCCAATCTGATCGCCTAGCCACCGTGAGTACAGGTGCTCTGTTTTGGGCCAAGCTCTTAAGTACTTCTAGAATAACATTTTCTATTGCTTCAAGAACTTCAGCACTGAAACAAAGAAAAATAATGAAATGGATCATATGATATCTAGTTCTGCTTTGAATGTTGATCTTCTGTCCCCCATCCTACAAAAATAATGTAATACAAAACTGCTTCAAAGATATATCTGTTTCAAAATTGTGGAGGAACCCTTTTGGTTTTTTTTTAATTTTGCGTTGCTCAGTTTCCCTAAAATCTTTGACTTTCCATTCCTGATGCATGACTGAAGACACAATTAAAAGTACATTTCTATTCAATCCTGAAACCATCAAATTTTTCACCAGCTGAACTTTTAGACCAACTGGCTGGTTTGTAACTAATGATTAATGTTTTACTATAAATGATGTAATATTGGCTTTGGCTATGATTTGGGCTAAATTGTTTTTAAATGTTGTAGATTTAAAAAAATGTTCAAGAGTACAAACACTTCCTGTTGTACCATTGCATGTTAATCTTCTGATTTGCTGCCCTGAAAAAAAAAAAGTTAAGGGTTTTAATTATATGAAGGCTTAGTCTTGACAGATATAATGTGAAGAGAATAAACTCTATCTTTCCCCTAAAAAGACAAAGTAACCTTGTGGCAGATCCCTCACAGCAAAACTGTAGGCTGGTTTGAATGTTATGACAGATGCTTTTTATTTTCATAAGCAATCTGACTCCAGATGTCCTTAAAATTACAAGTGCACTGTATACCATCATAAGTTTAGGTAGAGATTAAAAGAATATACAAAACTTATTTTAGCTTAAAGTTTTAGCAGCAAAGTCCAATTTTTTCATTAATATGCTAGAAAAGATGAGTTAATACTGGTGCACACCACACAAAAGGAATTATCCTACTGGTACAAAATCAGCAAGAATTATTTTTAAAAGCCTGGCTATGAGTCTCCTTAAACAATACTGAAGTGTCATTAAAGCTCTCTTCTATCAATTGAATTTGTTTCTCCCATTTGTAGCTCTGCTTCCACTTGCTCCTCATTCTGCTGAAACTAGATTATCATTTTTCAAACGCAATTTCTGGAAAGTATTGAACTTTTATTTTAAAATGTTATTCCTAACAGTATCTGTGTAAAAATTCCCACTGGTATTACTAACATCTTTGTACAATAATATTAAAACCATTCAACAATCACAATGTAAAATTTTGTCTGTTTTTCAGATGAATAAACTTGGACACAAAGCGACTAATGGCTTTCCAAAGGTAAATCAGTGAAGCTTTTGCAGTGCTGATAATACAAGAAAGTGTAGTCATGCAGCCAATATGTAAAATTCATTTTCTACTGTATAACTTCATAATCAAGTCCAGGATTCCCTAACTTTCAGACTTGTCGTCTCTTCCTCCAAATTAAAATCCTACATCTCACTGCGATATTCAAAATAGAAATTTGATTAAGCACAGAGGAAATGGTTGCCTGGTGAGCAAAATGTGTAATGCAACAAGTGGTGAGAGTAAAATTGGTAAGCAAAGTTAGCTATGGTGCAAAATTAAAGTTCTGAAGACAATAAAAACGTGTATGGGCAGATGGATGGAAGAACATGCAGATAGGAAATCTAAAACATGTCATACCTTTGGTACTCATAAATATTTTACTTATTCATTTGGTTCTGTCCACTGTGAATGTCTCAATATTCCAGAGACTTTTCCAGTACTTTAAAGTTTGCTGTAGAATTTGAAAGTCCAGGTTTCTATTCCAATCCCAATTTCCTGTTCTGTTGGCCAACAGAAGTTGTAAATGTGGCAAAATAGGAGGAAAAGGACAGCAATTCTCCACGTAACCCCTGCTGATATTCTGTCTCTTTTTGCAGAGATTAACTGAATTTTAATAAGCAAACATACAACACTGGCCAAGTACGCCTGCTTAAAATTCACTCTGCTTTAGTTAACAGGGAAATCTGAGCAGAGAAGGGGTCACACTGCGTATCTCACAGGGTTTGCTGATCACTTCTAACAGGATGCAGCGTGAGCAGATACTTCTTTCTGTATAGCACAAGAAATGATCTTCAACATTAATAGCACAAAAGAGCAATATGATAGAACCCTTAGCACGCAAACAATACACACAACAGTTACACATAAAAATCTGCAATGCCATAAACCAGCACACTCCAAAACACAGAACTGCATGGTGCTAAAGACATGCAGTTCCCACATCTTGCCACAAAGAACAACATATATCTAAGTCATTATAATAATAATCATTATTCTTTTAACGTACTTTAAAAGATACTCCCAGTCTGTTCCACCCTCTGAGGCTGAGGCACTGTGTACAGAAAGAGTCTTTAAAGGAAATGAGAGCATTTTCTTAGTGAAGTTCACCATGTTTGTTTTGTCACTGTTTTCTGTGTTTCTGTCTGTAGCTACAGATGTTTTGGAGAGCTCTGAGGGAATGGAGATGCTGTTTGTGGTGCGAGCACCCTTTGTTTCTGTGTAGGGTAGCGTGTCTTCCACTGCTGCACAAGCCATGGTGCACTGCCTGCTGCAGTATTACCACAGAAAGAGAGCGCAGGTGCTATTTTCCATATCCTTTACCTAGGAATGTGGCTCTCATGGCTTGTTTCCCTGAGGCTCGCCTTGTTCCCAGCTGGTGCGTGAGTGGAACACACACTGTGGTCGTCCATGGAGGTTGGTGCAGGCCAGTCCAACTTGCCTGGAAGGGATGAAGCCGTGTTAAAAAGAGATTAATTAGGTTAGAAGATGATGTTCTGTGTGCTGGGCTCAACACTCATGATCAGAGCTCAAGCCAGAGAGAAAAAGCAGAAAATCTTTGTAGAAACCAAAGTCAAGATTTTCCTGCTCTTTCTGACTGACCAATGGCTCTTCCCGCCCTTCCTGACTGACCAATGGCTCTTCCCGCCCTTCCTGACTGACCAATGGCTCTTCCCGCCCTTCCTGACTGACCAATGGCTCTTCCCGCCCTTCCTGACTGACCAATGGCTCTTCCCGCCCTTCCTGACTGACCAATGGCTCTTCCCGCCCTTCCTGACTGACCAATGGCTCTTCCCGCCCACCCTGACTGACCAATGGCGCTTCCCACCCTTCCTGACTGACCAATGGCGCTTCCCGCCCTTCCTGACTGACCAATGGCTCTTCCCGCCCTTTCTGACTGACCAATGGTGCTTCCCGCCCTTCCTGACTGACCAATGGCTCTTCCCGCCCTTCCTGATTGACCAATGGCTCTTCCCGCCCACCCTGACTGACCAATGGCTCTTCCCGCCCACCCTGACTGACCAATGGCGCTTCCCGCCCTTCCTGACTGACCAATGGCTCTTCCCGCCCTTCCTGAATGACCAATGGCTCTTCCCGCCCTTCCTGAATGACCAATGGCTCTTCCCGCCCTTCCTGACTGACCAATGGCTCTTCCCACCCTTCCTGATTGACCAATGGCTCTTCCCGCCCTTCCTGAATGACCAATGGCTCTTCCCGCCCTTCCTGACTGACCAATGGCTCTTCCCACCCTTCCTGACTGACCAATGGCTCTTCCCGCCCTTCCTGAATGACCAATGGCTCTTCCCGCCCTTCCTGAATGACCAATGGTGCTTCCCGCCCTTCCTGACTGACCAATGGCTCTTCCCACCCTTCCTGACTGACCAATGGTGCTTCCCGCCCTTCCTGACTGACCAATGGCTCTTCCCACCCTTCCTGACTGACCAATGGTGCTTCCCGCCCTTCCTGACTGACCAGTGGCTCTTCCCGCCCTTCCTGACTGACCAATGGTGCTTCCCGCCCTTCCTGACTGATCAATGGCTCTTCCCGCCCTTTCTGACTGACCAATGGTGCTTCCCGCCCTTCCTGACTGACCAATGGCTCTTCCCGCCCTTTCTGACTGACCAATGGTGCTTCCCGCCCTTTCTGACTGACCAATGGCTCTCCCCGCTTTCACTAACAGAGAGGGGATGGCCCTGCCCACCCTGGCTGACCCCGCTGGTGACTGCACCTCACGGCTGTCTCTGGAGCTGCTGTGTGAGCAGATATTTAAGCACAAACTCCATAGCATCCAGGTTTCTGGAATAACCCGTGCCAGACTGGCTACAAAGTCGCTAAATGGCTCATCAAGACTTCCCTCATCTCAACGACCAGCCATTTTTGCCTTCCCTTACTATCAGATGTCTTTTCCTGTTCTAAGTAGAAAGCTGACAGCTCCAGTGCAACCCCACTGTTGAAAAGTCAGCTTCATTCCCTGAAACAGAATTTGGCTTCCATTGAGATTAAAGTTTTAACACTATTTTCATCATTTGCCTTCAGCAAAAAAATCCAAAGATTTACAATAGGCTTGGGATATGGTTTCAAATCTGTCTCAATACACTGTTAAAAACTTGTTTTCTGAACAAAAAACAAACCCCCAATTCTAAGAGCCATGAATCACTGGCTCCTAAGGAAGCTGAGATTTAAGAAGAATCCTAGAATCATAGGACAGTTAGGGTTGCAAAGGACCTTAAGATCATCCAGTTCCAAACCCCCTGCCATGGGCAGGGACACCTCTCACTAAACCATGTCACCCAAGGCCCCATCCAACCTGGTCTTGAACCCTGCCAGGGATGGAGCATTCACAACCTCCCTGGGCAACCCATTCCAGTGCCTCACCACCCTTACAGTAAAGAACTTCCTCCTTATAACCAACCTAAACTTACCCTGTTTAAGTTTTAACCCGTTACCCCTTGTCCTATCACTACAGTCCCTAATGAAGAGTCCCTCCCCAGCATCCCTATAGGCCCCCTTCAGATACTGGAAGGCTGCTATGAGGTCTCCACACAGCCTTCTCTTCTGAGGCTGAACAGCCCCAACTTTCTCAATCATCAAGAAAGAAATGCTAAATTTTATCAGGCTTACGGCTGAACCAGGACTTTTATGATTCATGTGGGGCTCCTGGCCAGAAGGCATCGCTTCAAACTGGAGGATACACAGCCAGAGGCAGGCTGTGGGTTGAAAAGAAACCCCCCACACGGTTATCAATTTGGTGCATTTTGTACCTGTTGTCCTTAGGTGTTTTCCTGAGGTGTCTTGTGCTTCACTGAAGCTTGTGCTTCACTGGGTTTTGAGCACAGAGTTCCTTCCCTGGTAGCTTGAGAGTGAAAAACTGCAAATCCTAGAAATCTAAACTGCCCTCACCCAGTTATTGCATGCCAAAGTGTGTTTCAACTCTGAACTATGTCACCGTAATTGCTTGACAGTGGTCATTCTGAGAAGGTTAGCAGTTACTTAGGAGATAAATATCTTAAGGCTTGTCCTTTCTAGAGGAAATTTTTTAAACCCCACTGTTGATAACATCACCTTTCATGCCCAGCAGTCAGTATTACTGGAAGCTGTGCTCTATTTAGCTCACAGCATTTCAAACCTTGTGATGCTTAGACTTGTTGCCAGTGAGTTAGATGATGCAGTGCTTAAAACGTTGGAGGCTGCTGGTTTCCCCTGCTGTTCCATTAGCTACTGCTGCTGAACCTTTCTTCTTTGGTACTCATAAAAGCAAGCCGTCCAAATCCAGCCTGGGTAGGTAATTAAAAAATCCATGCATTGATTTATTCAAGGAAAACCTCAGGCTATGATGATATGAACATAAGGTGCTTCAATTAACATGGCAAGCAAAAGAAAGGCAAATTAATGAATTGAGATTTCCAGATCTTTCATCTTAAGTCTTTGGCCTTTAGGTACCTTGAGATCACTCCAGAAATATTTATGTAAAATCTCTGTAGCTCTTTCCAACAATTTAACATCAAAATCAAGAGATTTTTGTTTGATACAGAACTGACAAAGTTACACATGCCCCTAGCAACAGATTGCAAACAAAACTATATACATCAACTTGTGAGAAGTTAATTTAATGAGTTGTTTCTTCTTCACAGCAGGAAACAGCAACTCTAAAAAAAAAGCACAGCTTAAATACTCAATGCTTATACCTGAGTTAACAAAACAGAGATTGAAAACCAAGCAACAATAACAAACTATATGCTTCAACCTTAACTCTGCACACATAACTGCAAATATGCACGTATACATAACCATGTAAATTAGTATGCAGACTACTACCAGTAAATGAACTACAATCAATAAATGAATGAGCAGGTTCACCTTCTAAAGCCCTCTTTATTTATTTATATATAAATATATGCCCCCTTTCTAAACTCTGCTTCAAAAAAAACCAAAAACACACCAAAACCAAACAACTGCATTTTTTACGTATATTAGCAGGCAAATTACTGGGAAAACAAATAAGGAACCATTATTAAATATTAAGATGGAAGGAAAAATGTGAAAAAGGCAGTATAACCGATGCAGTTACCTCTTATCTTGCTTCTACAAACATGCGTGGTAGAGGTCACCACAGATGGCAGAGAAAAGATTATTTCTCTGAAGCTGTTAAATTTAACACGATGATTTCACCAAGTAAAACAAGGATGATAGGTGATCTTTCAGATTTGTTTGCTTTGAAAGATACCCTGTTACCAAAACGTTCCCTTAAGATTGTCTCCATTATAAACATAGGCTCTCATCAGGGTACTTTGGAGGAAGTTGTGCTATGATATAGTCTGTATGAGCTGTCTGATGCCAATTTCAAAGTCTGTCTGTAACTGCTGAAGAACTTGTCTGGATCAAAACCTGTTGCTACCACTACATACTACAGAATAAAAGAGCTATACAGAACAAAAATGTGCATTTATCTCAGTGCCAAGATTTTAAATCGCTTGTTACTGATTTTTCATATATAAATAACTTCATTTGTAGGATAAATAATACATAAAATACATAAAAGCATAAGTATGCTTTTCCTTTCCCTCACTGCATACCTTATGAAAATATTTTTCTTCTTTTCATATGCAGTCTTTTACATTAAGATTTTATGATTGCCATAGTAAGTACTTCTCTCATGATGGTCCATCCTTAATTTTTTAATAGTCTGGTAGGCACGCCAGTGGACCTGATATGCCTATTTTCAATTAATGCCAAATACCATTTGAAATCCAGTCTTTCAGAAGCCTGAAAAAAAGGAACACCTCTGTAAGAGGCAATGATTTGTGCAATCATGGGTGTTTGGGCCAGGTAGGAGTGTTAAGGAGACAGATGGAGGCTTGAAAACTACAGCAGGAACAGGGGGAAAATCTCCCACTGGCCATTTAAGAGCTTCTTGGGACAATGCCTACTGTGTTCCAGCAAGCTTCAATTTCTTTCCAGCTTCCTTGCTTGTGATCTGGACAATCCTCGGAAGGACAGACCTTTTGTGAGCCAGCAGATTTTACTGTGAATACGTTAGGATGAAATAGGAGCCAGATCTATCACCTTCCAGTTACACGAAAAGTTACTGATCTTTTTCTAATGAGCAAAGCCTGGAGAAATAGGAGTTGAAAAGTCATTCGCTGCTAACAGCTAACAACTTCAAATGGGATATCTCCTTCTAACTAACATGGTTGGAAAAGAACAAACCCCAAACTAATATATATTTTCAGTTTACCTAGCTCTGGAGTGAGAAACACCGGTACAATATTTATTCTGTGGTGAGCCAAATCACTCTAAGAGGAAGTGGGGTTTTGTTACCATTCCTTTTTGTGTGTGTTTTATCTTTCAGCCAAAAATAAACTCTAACAGGCCCTTCTTAAGAGGAAAAGTAACTTTCATCTAACCTCTGTCACAATGATTTTCAGATCTAACATTTTCTAATGCCATTAGGGGCAGTTATGCATTTTGGGTGGCAGTGCAAAACAGGGTTTTGAGACAAAGAAACACTAAGTAAATTTAATAGAAGAATGCTTTTCCCAACTAGCATAAATGCCCCATGCACTCTGGTTCATTGACAATAATTAACCCGCAAACAGGCAGCATTACATGACTGAACATTCAAAGACATAATTTTTACATGCTGAGAAGTTTGAGCTTGCTCACTACTATCTTAGCCACTATTTCTCATTCCTAAACTGGTCTCACACTAAGCCAGAACACTCGTTCAGCCTGATGAAAAAAAAATGGTTGTAGCAGCTCTAAGGCTTGGCAAAGTTAGACAAAAAATGAGAATGGGATTTTATAAGGGAAAGCTGGGCATTCTACTAGTTTTATTATCCTTTTGGTGAGCATGCTGTAGGGGAACATAGAGAAAATATTTTGAAACATCCAAGACTCCATGTATAATAGAATCACAGAATGGTTTGGGTTGGAAGGAACCTTAAAGCTCATCCAGTTCCAACCCCCTGCCACTACAGCAGGTTGCTCCAAGCCCTGTCCAGCCTGGCCTTGAACTCTGCCAGGGATGGGGCAGCCACAGCTTCTCTGGGCAACTTGTTCCAGTGTTGCCCTGCCCTTATCATAAAACATTTCTCATTTTATCTAGTCTAAATCTACCTGCTTTTAGTTAAAATTATTACCCCTTGTCCTATCACTAAAGAGCCTGTCTCCATCTTTCTTATAATCTCCCTTTAAGTATCGAAAGGCCACTCTAAGGTCTCGCCACTGCCTTCTCTTCTCCATGTTGAACAATCCCAACTCTCTCAGCCTGTCTTCATAGGACAGTCCTCCAGCCCCCTGGTCATTTTTGTGGCACTCCTCTGGACCTGCTCCAACACGTCCATGTCTTTCTTGTAGTGAGTGGAAGTGACTGCTGAAAATAAAACAAAGAAATAGTCTTGCTTTTGAAGAACCTACAGGTCTCTCACATACGAATAATAAATATATTATGGACAAAATGTTAAGCTCTTTCTCTGCTGTCTTCTAGATCAAGATCCCAAGGCAGCTGAATAATAAAAGAGGTCAGGCAAATATGTGGCTCCTCTCTCTGCACCTAATGCCTGTCTATTTCTAAGAGAAATAAACACCTATCATTTACCTATTACCCCATTTTTCATTGCTAGGAATGGGAATCACATTAAAATCTGGGCTGAAGTGCTTATATAGCAGCTAAATAAACAATAAGTCTAGGGGACTATGGGTGAGTTACAGCCAATTCCCTCCACTCTCTCTGGCATCTCCCAGAAATCAGCTGCTTTTATTGTCTGTATGGTAAAAATCTGACCAAACCCACATGCCAACAGTGG